GCTACGAGTACGACGCCCTAAGTTTGCTTTTCTGTGAGGCATTATGCTTTTCTGTGAAAATGAACTAAAGCAGATCATCTATCTATCTATATAAATAAAAATGTAATGTTCGTTTGTTCCTACCGATTCCTTTGAAATTTTGACACAACGCTGCATTCGAATACGCACGTGTTTTTATATAATATACGTGTCGAAATTCCCCCCACTGAAGGGAGATGGTTAGGATTAAGGCTTACCGTAAAGAACTCTGCTTCTATTTATACTATTTTAGATGCGGTTTTTTGCGTTTTTGATTGCGTTTTAATAGGGTACGTCAACAGAATGTACACTAAGAAGGGATTTTTTGATATTTCCCGGCGGGGGAGAAGGACAGAATTAAGGCTTACTATGAAGAACTTGGCTTCTATTATATTATTTTAGATGCGGGTTTTTACGTTTTTGATTGCGTTTTAATAGGGTACGTCAAGAGAATGTACACTAAGAAGAAATTTTTCGAAAAATTCCCCCCCCACGGGAGAAGTTTTATACATTTACAATAGATATATTTTGAGCCACAACAACGCGTGGCGGGGTCTGCTAGTATAATATATACTTGTGGCCCAATATACAAACATATGTAAGGATTAACACGTCTAGATTATAATAATAAGTATTAAAACTTTATCACGAAAAAGAATATTTTAAAAAATTACTTCTACAGACACTGTCAATTTTTACTTAGAAATAGATAAATTCATTTCTTATAAAAGAGACAAACAAAAATTTATTTGTAAAACACAAATATTTGTTTTATTGGTTTCTCATTAATAAAAAGCCACGAAACACCATTTTAGGGAAGAGGTGGAAGTCTTCACACATTAAAGGTGGGGGTTTTTCAGGATGGGATCAGCATAGCGTGTCAGCACACCAGGATCCTACTCTTTAAGCACAATTAACGAAAATAGATTTTATGTTCTTCATTTCTTATCAAGACAAAAACATTTGTACAAACATATTTGATGTTTGTACTGTTTTATAATTATTTTCTTTAAAAATAAATAATAAATTTACGTAAAAATAAACTTATATTAGTCTGAGATAAACCCGAATGCGAGCTACTGACCCTACTCCGGATTGGACCTGCTCAACGTCTTTTTCTCATCCCATCCGGAAATTTCAACTTTTATGTAACTATTTCGAATATATGTTTTTTAGTCCTGTCAAGCGACTCACCGACGTTATGTTTCAGACACAGTTCCCTCAGCCTGACTGGACAAAATCTCAAAAGCGGCTGCTTTTAACGAACGACTCCAATTTATCCAAGACTTAATCCTGCTTAAATGCGAACTGAAATTTTTTTTTGTCTGTAAATTTTTCGTCCGATGGCAATAATTATAATTAAATAAATATATGAAGACAAAGTTCTCCCAAAAAAGGAACCACCATTTATTATTTTCTCATACTGGACTATACAATCTTTAATCTACATTTACCAGCGCTCATTTTCCAAGTAGATAAAAGGCCGAAACAACCCAACAAGGTATGATGGTAACTAGAAGACGTCCATATGCCACTAATTCCTTTTTAAAAAATTTTGTATTTTTTACGGAATGTATTATTGTGATTTTAAAAGGACTTTTTGGCGGCCAACAGCCTACAATGAAAGGTCAGTTGCCAAGATTGTATAATCCAGTATGCGAAAATAATAAATGGTGGTTCCTTTTTCGGGAGGACTTTGTCTTCAGTTATTTATTTAATGATTTTATTTTATTATTCTTTTATTTCTTATTATTTAGTTTAGTTTACCTTATTTATTTACTTTAGTTTAATTTAATTTCGTTATTACTCTTTTCTTTTTATCTGTACAATTTGTAATTTTTTTCTCAACAATAAATCACTCATAATCTTTCATTTGTGACATATTACTGCCCAAACTGCTCCCCCAGGCTAATTATGTCGATAAACATCGACTTGAGTTTCTCGATTTCTCGATAACCAATTTCGTATAATATAACAAACATGATAATGATAGATATGTATATGTGTATATGTTTTTTTTTTTTTTATAAATGGATACATACGTTCTCACATATGCTTAATAAATATGATAACCACAGAATTTAATGCAGTTCTTAAAATGATAATAAAGGGTTCTTAATTAAAATTGAAAAATTATTAATAAATTTTCAAAACAATTTTGAAACACCAGGATTTGCGTACTTGTCACGTTTGATGATAATGAGACATGCACAGTTTAAATCTTGTCACTTGTGGCACTAATGTCAGTTTGATGTATACTTAAGTTCCGGGAGTGAGTAAAAAGTGTAAACCGAAGTTTTCATCTACTGATAAAAACATGGACTTAAATAATGCAACAGTTGCTGAATTACGAAAGAAATTAAACGAATTAGGGTGCAAGACAACAGAGACAAAGACAGAACTTTCAAAAAGGTACATAAGCTTAAAATAATAAGTATAAACTGACGCTTTTATACTTGTTGGCTTTCGTTTTCTATCTTGTAACAGAATTATGAGGACAATTNTCTTCTTGTAAAGTTGTAATTATTTTAATTATTTTTATTTCCAAACTGATTTTAACCAGTTCTATAGTAAGGTAACATTCCAATAGACAATATGCAAAGCTTTTTTTTTCAGTTTACAGCAGTATTTATTACACAAAATTTAAGTAAAGCTTAACATGCCGATCTTGCCCCGATCTCCCCTATGTTGTAAGTACATCATATTTTTGGCAAAATTCATAACATTTTATATTTATTTGGACTTCTTTTTATTTAATAACATCAAACATCAAACAATACGAGACATAGTCTACAATTTGCAATTGTTTCACTTTGATATCAGGCATCCATAATTGCTAATTTTAACGGGTTTACTTGAGAATAATGCTTGTTGTAATCTCAAACTAGTTTTGTTATTATACTCTATAAATTTTGTGTTGGACTATTAGAAGGCCAGTCTAATGCTTATTCGTGTTTTCATTAATAAATAATTTTTTAGTTGATTTTTATGCATGGAGTGAAGCATTATTTTGTTGAAATATCCAATTGTTTCTACCAAGTAACGGTTCTAATGCAATCAAATTATTTTTAACATATCCTGATATTTTAAGAATCTATTTTTTCATCATCAATGACAATTTCAGTTTTCCTATTAAATCCAAATGTATTCCAAATTATTACAATGCCACCTCCTAACTGACTACTCATTATATTATATATACAGTAGAACCTCGATTATCCGGACTAATTGGGGATGAAGGTAGTCCGGATAAGGAAAAATCCGGATAATCGAATATCCGGATAATAGAGGTCCGGATAATGGAGGTTCTACTGTATATCAATATACAACTACTCAACTCTTATATATATATATATTGAATTTCAATTTCTAAAAGTTTAGAATTGTGTTATTAGTGTTTAAAACTATTAAGATTTCAAAAGTTAAAAATAATTGGCTGTTTGTTATAATACGGGATGTGATGTAATAACATACAATTTGATTGTTCAACAAAAATACTTTTACACTTGTAGAGTATTATTACTCTAAACCAGTGTTTCCCAATTAGTTTTTCCTTCATACCACTTTATGAAAGAGCTGAAACTCGCGTAACTCTTATAGCAGAAATTCATATTAATCCATACTAATATTATAAATTCGAAGGTAATTCTGTCTGTTGTCTGTCTGTTGTCTGTCTGTTACCTTTTCACGTCTAACCACTGAACAGGTTTTAATAAAATTTGGCACAGAAATAGTTTACATGTTACAGATGGACATGGGCTACATTTTCTTCGAGAAAATATCTTACTCCCACGAGAAAATTCGATATAACGCGGGCGAAGATGTGGGTAGACAGGTAGTGATAAATAGAATAAGTGTTTTTTACATTTATTCCCTTTAAAATACAATTCTAATAATAATGAAAATAACATAAGGTTATTTAATTTTAATGTGACAAATGTGCACGATTTTCTTTGCACAACTTTGTAAAATCTGGTTGCTTTTTGGTCAGCTTCAGTCTCAAGTCATCTTCGAGTTGAAGTCGGTGATGATGTTTAGTTTTCATGTTTGTCATGGCCGAAAATCCGCTCTCGCAGAGATACGTTGTGCAAAATGGTAGTAAATATTTTACTGCCACTTCCTTGATATGATAATAATGATAATTGTACAATTTTTGTTTCTAGCGTAAGAATTTCATTTAGGTATTGTCACAAATGTATTTTTTGATGAAATTTCGAGAATATATTTAGTTATAAATAAACGAATTTGTGCGTTCGACATCATGTTGTAAATTGCCGAATTTTTGATGGTCCACCCATTATTTTTTGATTGCTTCATCTCATGCATTTAAATTTTAAATCGACCGATTTTAGATTGCTGCGCGTACCCCTTCACGCGATTCCGCGTACTCAGGGGTATGCGTACCACTAATTGGGAACCATTGCTCTATACAATTCAAATTAACTGTCTTTATAAGTTTTCCTGCTACAAATCCGAGCGTGTATCGACTTAATTTCTTTCCAGTTTTTATCTTTACTTCCCATTCTTTTTTATTTTTTATCGGATCATTTGGAAATTTATGAAATTTCAAGTCTGAATGTTTAAGATTGACACTGAGGCAAACAACAATTAATTAACTGGCATTTAAAAAATACCCAAATAACTAAATAAGCAACTTTTAAACAATGTATTCACAGTATGATAGATGAAATAGGAAGCTACCTATCCATACCAGCGCCATCTATTAATTTCGAAAATTGTACGCCCTATCGTACAGTACATTTTCACAACACATTTCTTTATCACGAATTTTTGATTTATAGTTTCGAAAAGTGCACGCGGTCTCAAACGAAAAGATGCATGTAAATCATGTGTTTTTACAATGAATTAAATGAATTTTAATTAAAAAAAGTAAAATAACACGAATGCAGAAATTTTCATAAAAATTCCAGTTTATTTAATTATAACAATGATAATTTAACTGAAATATAAATACTCTCGTTTACATCTGTGAAATTCATAACTTTTCTGGAAATTATAAATATTTGAAACAATATTGTCTTAAATACATATTTTATAATAACTTCTATGCATTTTACAATAAAACTCGCAAATATTATCAAATGTTTAGTGTTTATCTATTCAAAAAGCGTTATTTCGAGATAAGGATTGAAAAAATAACACAAGACTACAACAGATATTGCATATCAATGACGTTCCAATGCTCTTATAATTTCGTTTTTACGATATTTTGTTTAACATAATACTTATGTTTCGCAATTTTACATAACTCATTCATTGAAGTTACTCCTGTGTTCTTTACCAAATTATAAAAAGTACCATTTACATTCTTTAATAATTCATATGGCGAGTCAAATTCCTGTACTTTTCCCTTGTCAAGTACCTGAAAAATGAAAACATTTGTTTAAAAAACATTTATTTTATAGTATTAAACAATAAAATCTTACCAAAACTCTATCCGAATCGATAATTGTATGTAATCTATGTGCTATTGTCAGCACTGTACAAGATTTAAATTTCTCACGAAGTATCTTTTGTAAGCAGAAATCAGTGCTAGGAAAAAAACAGAAAATCAGAAAATGTATTATAATATTTAATTATTAGGATTAATATAAAACACGAATGTGATGCACTCCTTCCTATTATTTAAGCAACGCATCGTAAAAACTCATCAAAACAATCCAACGATAGTCCATGCTTCTAAATTGTTAGAAAACAATTTCTAAATAGCAGATAAATTGCAAGTATATTAAGCAGCCATTTAAAAACGGACAAGGTTGGCATTATTACAGTGGTGGGCAATACTTTTAAAAATAGTTGTTTAAGTTTACTTGTTTGTTAATTTTATTGGTTCATGTTTATATGCTTAAAATTAAAAGAGTATGTTTATAAAATAGTGAAAAATTAATGTTTGATTATTTATTACAAAAAATAGAAAATAGGTAATTTAAATTAACAAAATTTTACAGATAACTGTAAAAGTAACTGCAAATTTTGCGTACCTTCACTCTTTGGATAACTTTAGAAATGCAGTCTAGCATACTCATAATAAATGTTTTGATCGTAGGAAGTGATACGATAAGCCATGCTTTCCCGCATTACAACTTTCAAGTACAGGGTGGGGCATAATGGAGTCCCATATTTACGAGGTGGTTTAAAAAAACGGTAAAAAATATGAAAAAAAACTTTTTATTTACTCAAAGTACATGCAATAAGGTTTTTTGTTAGGTTTCAACAATGATGTCATCCAATGGGTGGTGGTCAGTCCCGCTAGGTGGCTTGAACGATAAGTTTTCAGTAGTGAACATATCGTGGTCTGGTGAACAATGGGGCTTGTCTTGGAAGCATTGTTTAAAAAAAACTGAGTCTGCGACTGCGAAGCAGAGGGCATTTCGCACGCGATTATGTTTAAATCCAAACGAAATCCGATGTTCATGATCGGAAAACGATTTTAAATGGGTTTAAAATTTAAGGGCAATAGGATCTGCAAATCCTAAAAAGCCAGTTGGGCGTCCCAAATCCGTGAGGACACCTGAAAACATCGCCGCACTCACAGCGTCAATAGAGCGGTCTCCAACGTGTTCTGTTTTGAACCATCTCTCTGCACTCCAGATATCGTGTCGAACGGTAAGGTGAATTTTGCCCTGTGACCTTGTGTTACACCCTTACAAAATTATGATTGCTCAAGAATTGAATCCTGTAGATTGTGGAATGTGTAGAAATTGTTGTAATGCGATCCTTACAGCTGTGGTATTGTGAGGAGTAGCGACAAAGCGCGTTTTCATATGTCTGGAACAGTGAACAAGCAGAATTTTCGTTATTAGGCTGCTGGAATCGTCCGAGAACTTTAACAACGACCCCTTCAAAGCCCGAAAGTTACCGTTTGGTGTGCTTTGTCCTCTGTAGCCATCGTGGGGCCTTTTTTTTTTGAAGAGGATGGCTTCACTGTTACTGTGACTTCCAACCGATTCTGCGACATGCTGGATTATTTTTTGCATCCTAAAATGGTTTCAACAGGATGGAGAGACAGCCTGTTGAAACTGAACACCCGTCAACCCTGGTCAACTAAGAAATATTCCCTGGTCAACTAATCTCTTTAAGAGAAACCATTGAATGGTCCCCTCGTTCCCCTGATTTGAACCCCTGTGACTTTTTCTTATGGGGTATCTCAATGCAGATGTTTTAAACATCGCCCTCGAATTCTACAAGAACTCAAGGAATCATGAGGAAATCGCCAAATTCCTCCAGATATGCTGGTGAGAGTTGAAGAAAACTTCAAGGAACTTTACCAACTTTACCAAATGTGCATCGCCCGTGAAGGCCAACATTTGGACGACATCATTTTTAAAACCTAACCAAAGAATCCTTATTACTTTGTATAAATGTCAAGTTTTTCCATATTATCGTACCGTTTTTTTTAAATTCACCTCGTAAATTTGGACTCCATTATGCTCCACCCTTTATTTTATACTGAAATGTATTGTTTGCAGTCAGCATACACAGTTCTTGAAAGCACATTCTAGATATCCTCGATCAGTGTTAGATATGAAAGTCGACTTGGATGATACAACAGTTTGAAATTCTTCACTGAAATTAAATTTTTTGTGTTGCAAGAGGAATTAGCAGGTTCATTGTCTTTTTGCATAAAATAAAACCCACTTGACAGCTAATTTTCACATATTAAGAAAAAAAAAAGTATTTTGAATTAGCTACTGAAGCTTTTTTGAATCATTTGTCAATTTATGAATGCAATAGGTGACACCATCCATATGTCTCCAAGAAAAAATCTCTTAATCTTTTTGCAAATTATGAAGGTAATACCTGTAGTTTACAAACTGAACCGCCTAGTTTAATCTTCATCAAAAATAACCCATTGCTATTTTGTATCCCAGGACATATGATTTTAAACGTCAGTCAATTACATGATTTTATATTCTTGAAGTGTTTTTCTTTTAAATTTCTTATTATTAAGTTGTACTGACGCTTTTTTCACTGTTTGAGATGTACGAAAATAAACTTTTAACTGTGAATAGTTCAAAAGTTTTGATGCTGACATCATACTGTTGCTTGCAACTGTCAAAATATGCCTTTTATTCAGGGCTGTGGAGTCGGAGTCGTGGAGTTTTGGTGTTTTAGCCGGAGTCGGAGTCGGATGGTAAGGAAAAGTCGGAGTCAGAGTTGGAGTCGGTAGATTTTTACGCGACTCCACAGCTCTGCTTTTATTTCTTTGTTTCGTCTTAGAAGGTCTTCCAATGTTGTTTTTCTAGTCATATTTACTAGATTTTTAAATATAATCGTACACAACGATGTAAATCCTTCGGATTTCGAAAGATATTGCGCGATAGTTTCGTAGTTAGCCATAAAGAACCAATTTGTCTTTGTTCTTTCTCTGTCAGTTTTACATTTTCCTCATGAATGACAGATGATTTTATTTTATAGAAATATATACAAATATTTTATACAAGTACACAGTCTTCATTAGTTATTTACATTTATATGAAGAATTGAAGTTACTTTTTCAATTGTCTTTGAAGTTTTGTCAACATAAATTCTCTGGTTTTCTACTTCTCAGAAGAAATTTTATTAAAATTCTATTTTAACACCAGTTTTTCAAATTTGTATACACCTCCAAATATTTGAAGTTTAGACTATTAACAAAAATATAATATTTTCGAGTCTATCTTTATCCTTTAATTCAACCACAGAAGTAACAGTTATAATAGTTTTGAAGAATTTTTACCTATTTTTACCTTTGTTAAGAAGTTTTATTCTTCAAAACCATTGTAACAGTTACTTCTGTGATTGGATTAAAGCAATGGTTCCCAATTAGTGGTACGCGTACCCCTAGGGGTACGCGAAATTGCATGAAGGGGTACGCGCGGCAATCTAAAATCGGTCGATTTAAAATTTAAATGCATGAGATGAAGCAATAAAAAAAATAATTGGTGGACCATCAAGAATTCGGCAATTTACAACATGATGTCGAACGCACAAATTCGTTTATTTATAACTGAAAATATTCTCGAAGTTTCATCAAAAAACTGCATTTGTGACAATACCTAAATGAAATTCTTACGCAAGAAACAAAAATTGTACAATTAACACAATTTGTTTTTGCGAAATTAATTTTGAAAATTTTTGTCGCTGTTGCGAATAACTCCACCGACCACCTTGTCATCTCTGACCAAGAGGAATTAATAGACATTTCATGCACAGCAGACTCAAGAGTTGTTTTGCAGAGCAATCACTGAGTAATTTTTGGGCTGATCTAAAAGATATTTATGATGTCAGCGAAGCGACAATAAAATATTTACTACCATTTTGCACAACATACCTCTGCGAGAGCGGATTTTCGGCCATGACAAACATGAAAACTAAACATCATCACCGACTTCAACTCGAAGATGACTTGAGACTGAAGCCGGCCAAAAGCAACCAGATTTTACAAAGTTGTGCAAAGAAAATCGTGTACATTTGTCGCATTAAAATTAAATAACCATATGTTATTTTCATTATTATTAGAATAGTATTTTAAAGGTAATAAATGTAAAAAAAAAAACTTATTTTATTTATCACTAGCTGTCTATCATCACCCACAGCTTCGCCTGTGCTGTCGAATTTTCTCGTGGAAGTAAGATATTTTCTCACAGTAAAATGTAGCCTATGTCCATCTCCAACATGTAAGCTATCTCTGTGCCAAATTTTATTAAAACCTGTTCAGTGGTTTAGACGTAAAAAGTTAACAGACAGACAGTATTTATAATATTACTATGGATTAATGTGAATTTTTGCTATAAGGGGTACGCGAGTTTGAGCTCTTCCTTGAAGTGGTACGCAGAAAAAACTAATTGGGAATCACTGGATTAAGGGATAAAGATAGACTCGAAAATATTATATTTTTGTTAATAGTCTAAACTTCATCTAAACTTCAAATATATGAAGAAAATATATCCTGAGTCAACATGGCAATTGTATATACCTACTGTTTATATTAAAACATATGAACTTGACTGTACCGATAATTCTAATAAAATCCATTGTTTGGATAGACTTTTTGCTTTTTTAGTTTTGTCCAACACTGTACCTAATTGAGGCTTTGCAGAAAAGGCGATAACTTCATTTTGTTAGCAGAAAACAAAGATTCCGTTATTATCGGTTCAACAATTATGACACAGATTGCAAGATTACCGTTTATCATATCAAATATCATAACAAACATTTATGAATTTAATGAAATAGTGTCAAATTTAGTGAGAAATATCTAAAACACGAGTTGATTCATGATTTACGATGTTTCATATATTTCATCTTCTATTATCATATCATATCTAGGGATTGCAATCCAGCAGTGTTTTCAATCCAGCTGGATTTTTGCTGGACCGACATCAATCCAGCTGGATCCAGCGCGGATCCAGCGCAGATGTATTTTTGGTGCAATAAATTGTTATCTATCTATCTATTTAGCATTTTATGGTTATTTTTAAAGAAATAAAACATTTTTTTAATATTTAAGAACCTTTTATTATTTAGACTGTTCACTTTAAATCAGTGAAAACGTCTTACACATTTAGGTAGTAAACTTAACTTTGGTTCGGTTTAACACTTGAGATAGAGATAATTAACTATAAATGTTTAGTTAGATTATAATTATAATGTAATAAGTTAAATAATAGCAAAGGCAATTCTACTAATTAATTTACTTTAATATATTATATTATAATAATGTAAGGATGTATTGAATGTATGTAGGTTTGTGGTGTCAACGTCATCAACTTACCCTCCCGGTAAAGTGAATATGAACTTGTGCTTTTGGAGTGTTATTTCATATTTAATGGTATGTCTAAAATGTTGACTGATGAGGGGCTATACGCCCGAAACGTGTAAAAGTACCCGTATCAACTGAATAAAGAGGAAAAACGCCAAGTGTTTTAATAATAACACAGTCTTGTGTTCAATAGTTAATAAATACGAAAACACGGTTTCAAAAAACATAATGTAAGGATGGATAATCAGTGGCTAAGTGGCTATCAGTCTTACCAGTTTTCTTATATAGGCTCTACATATCAGTCTGTAGCTATTTATAAGTAATTTAACCACTTATAAAATAAAAGTTAAATACTCTTACTTAATAGAATTAGAGAAGAAGTTATAAAATATTAGTCTTGTCTTGAATAAAGTATTTTAAAGGATTAAATAAAATTAAATCAATCACTTATTTTTTCGTGTTATTTTCATATTATTTTTTTATCATCAAATATGTTTTTGTCATCAAATATTTCTTTGTCATTTAACATGATAACATATTTTTTTTACTTTTCTGGAAGTAGGATCTCAAAAAACAAATAGCATTAATGGTGTTGTCTCCCAACCTACTTCTTAATGCACTGCATATATATCCCGCTGCAGAGAAGGCCCTTTCAGCCTCTACGCTAATTGGTTTCGGGGTCATCAAATAATGATAAATCAAAGATAAGTTTTCACCTCTGACTCTTTCACTTTCATAAACAGCCATTTCCTTTTTTAATAACTTATCATAATCCTTCTCAGTACTAATTTATTTCCGTTTCATGAAGTTTTCTTTCTCACGCTTCAGTTGGATCTCCAATTCTTGTTCCAAGGTGAAATTCAGGGAATACGTGTTATCTGGATCATCGCTTTCCACCTCCATAATGTCCTCTGCCATTGCTGCTAGTTCCACTATATATGTATTTACACGATTCACTAAACTAACCAAGTTTGATCCAAATCGTTAGAGTCATTTTTGTGGTAAATAATTCTATTTTCATTTAAGATCATGTAGCGTGTCACAGACGTCCCCCTGGCATTTTTTTAGTCGCAATTTTTCCGAAATTTTTCAAAAAAATTTTAAAAAATTCAAATTCTCTAATTTCTTCGAGCTGCGAAAAATGAAATAAATAACGTTATTTATTTCATTTTTCGCATTAACGTTTTATTGCGCACCGAATTTATTCAGGAAACAAAGTCGAAAAAGTGCCGGTGTCTCGCAGCTGAAGCGGAGTTCTGTCACGTGATTCATTGACGTCACAACCGACCGTAAATTAGAATTATGCACCAGGACTAGGAGAAAATGTTACTTATTTTATTTAGCGCGAAGACACTTTATTTAGCGAGAGCGAAAAGTCAACTATCAATTAGATCAGCAGAGGTAAAAGGACGGGTGGTGCGGTGTAGACAGGGAGTGTAGCACGTGCTGCACTAAATGGCAACGTCGTTCTCGCCGCCGAGCGATAGCGCACTTATCAAAGCGGCAACGCTGACAACGTAAACTTTCGCACCATTATTTAGAAAGTTAATTGAATATTTGCGGATCCGCAGCGCTGGATCCAGCACGATCCAGCAGGCCGAAAAATGCGCTGGATCCAGCTGGATTGCTGGATGAGGGATCCAGCAATTGCAATCCCTAATCATATCATATTTCAATTGAATACTTTCTAAAATATATTTTAGATAAGTTGTATACTGAAAATACATCGTACATATTTTATTAAATTCATACATGTTCGTTTGTTGTGAAACCATGTTGTAATATTTTCTTAGAAGTATTGAACACTAGATCGTATTTTTAAAATAATCACATGGCTTATTCTCCACCTTTTATTAAAATAAGCCATGTGATTGTTTTAAAAACACGATCTAGTGTTCAACACTTCTAAGAAATTCATACATATCAAAATAAAATACCGAAAATTATTTCGTGTTTGAAGGGCAGACAACAGAATACAATACATTTGTGTATTCAAAAACCTTAGTGTATTTGTAATTAATCTTTGTACAATATTATTAATGTTATATTTGACAAAGTGAATTATATAGTAATAATTATTGCTTAATGTGCAAAAATAAGCTATTTGATACATGATTATAATTCAAACTAAAACAATAAGTGACTAGAAAACAATCTACAGGGTTGGGAAAAAAAGTCACATAACATTTCTCTATAGAATATAGAATGTAGCCAAAGTTAATTTGCTTATATCAGGAACACATTACAATAAGGGGAATACAGATTGATGTGTTACACGCACGGCCGATATCTTGATGGCGGCCACATTGAATGCAACTACGAAACTGTAAATGAGAAGAGGGTTATGTAACAAATCTTTTAGAGTCACAATTTCACAAGGGATTGTTTGCTAAATGATTTTATTGACCTACCTACAACGGTTACAGAGTTATGCACGTTACACGATATGGTCAATGTACATTTTATATTCTCTAGCAGCAGTGTTAAGTGACTCTCTTTCCCACCTGTACAATGTAAACAATTATAACAATTATCTTCTCAATAATTATTATTAACTTAAATAATTTTATATTTGAAATTACATAATGTCGTCTGTAGATTTCATATCTTCTTACCTTTTATCAATATTGGATGTTGCTTCGTCCATGACAAGAATTTTATTCTGACGAAGAATGGTTCTGGCAAGGCAAATTAATTGTCTTTGTCCAACGCTGAAATTTTTCCCTCCTTCTGTTAAATGTGTATCTAATCCGCCAGGTAATTTACCAATAACTTCTTTTAATTGCACCTGTTATTTAAATATTTTTTACGTAAAAATGTAAAAATGCATTCATTTAAAAAACAGAAATTTTAAATCGAATAGTAGCATAAATTCAAATACGTATTTTTTTTATTTCTAACCTCTTCTATTGCTTGCCAGAGAGTTTCTTCTGAATATTCATCGAAAGGATCAATATTTTTTCGAAGAGGACCAGTAAATAACATTGGATCCTGGAAAAACGACAAACATTTCATGTATTAATCAGGGTTGAATAAAATGTACTTTACGGTTTCTCATGTTAAATTGGATGAATTAACATTATGGAAAAGCTAAACATTTGAATAATTTATATGAATAATTATCCTGAAAAAGAATTGATGGATACACTATTAGAAATATGTGGAAAATACTTTTTTACTTCTTTTTCAAAAACTTATTGTGTAAGTTCGAATTACAGTGACTTAAACTTACTGTTAGCATATTAGTATAACGGCATTGACAAATTAACTTTGCTACTTAATTAGTAACAACATAATAATTCATTATTCCAACAATTATGGAATAATGTTGCCAGTTTATCAGCAGTTTTTGTATTTTTACAAATTGCTATACGTATATTTTTGCTGTGCATTTTGTAACAACGCACTTACTTTCAGTTTTGTATGCATTCTCTGTGTGAAAATCAGTTTTTCTTTGATCCAGCGAACAAATTGTGGTCATGTAGCAACGATCAATTTTCCCTTTATTTCTGCCCAGTGGATTAGCTTGTCACATATTGAAACAAATTTCGACTCGAAGAATTTTAACAATTCTAAATTATTACCAGACAATTGCAAATTATTCAATACTTTAGATAAAATGCCTGATTAATTACCATGCTGTAATTAAAAAAAATTCTTGACTCATCTTAAAATGTGAGTTTAATTATTTACTTCTAAATGACGCCATGTTGCAGCATTCAAAGTGAGCAGAACTAGCCTGAATTAACTCTGTCAGGTCATAAGGTACACTATCAGGACCCAGTGAAATAGTTCAATTACCCTCAGCAGGATCTTTATTGGCACACTTCTCAGTTGAGATCTACAGGCAGGAGCTTCGCTTATCTAAATTACAATAATTTGTGATGCAAGAGTTGTACAACGATTAAACTGCTTTTCTTGTGGATTCTGGGATTTGGATCACGTTAAATGATGTGTGACGAGTGGCAAAGGATGATAATGAAGATTTATAGTATTACCTATATGTACAGTACAATAAGAAATTTTCAGTTTATTTTCCCAGTATCTATGATATCTATGTATGGTATTATCCCTGTACATTAATATAATCTTTAACTATATTCTGAAGAATTTGAAAATACATTCAGATCTTTGAATTTTACAAATAAGGAGTCATTATTTGGCAGTTGATATACGAAAATTTAACCATTCTTCATCAATTTTTCAATAGAGAAAACAATAAAAAATAATTTAAATACTTAAATAATTTGTATTCTGCTTTATACAGGGTGTATTTTTTTTATCTCGAGACAATGAAATATATTAATTTGATCTCATTTGTTCCCATTGAAAAAACAGACTTGACCTCCAAATGACCTTGAAGGTCAAGGTCACGTCTGAAGTCACCAATTGATTGCCCTCTCAACACCCTACAACTTTTGTCTATACCTTTTCTTTAAAACAATGAAATCCAATTAAGATATTTCATTGCCTCAAGATAAAAAATATACCCTGTATATGTGGATAAACTCATTTTATACCTCGTATCTGTATCATATGTTTTTTTTTTATCTCATTTAAAAATTAGAAGTTTTATATAAAAAAGATTAAATAATTATTTCGATTAAATTAATTATTGTTTACTTGAGGAATGATCGATATTTTGCTACGTAGATCCTGTAGACCAATATCTTTTGTGTCAATACCGTCAATTGTAATCGTTCCTGTTGGCTCTGACATACGAAATAACGCAGCTATTAATGAACTCTTTCCCACTCCTGTTCTCCCAACAATTCCTATCTGCAATTAATAAATAATAAAAACAATTTCAGACAATAATTACAAGTAATGATTCCTGAATTTTTCAAATGTTTTACCTTTTCTCCCGAGTGAATACAAAATGTTAAGTTTTTTAAAACAGTATTTTTATCCTTGGCATATTGTAAACAAACATTATCAAACTGAATTTCACCTTTTTGTGGCCAATCAGATGGTGGCTTTTTATCAGATGACGTTTCGTATGATGCTTCTGATTTCAATTTGCTATAATTCATAATGCGTGTTACCGAGTTCATCTGAAAAATTCGATAAATATTAAATTTATTTCAGCTTTACTTTTATTTAATAGAGTTTAAGTATGTGTTTTAAAACTTTTCTTATTTACTCGTTAGTTTTTAAAATAAAGTATACCTGAAATTCCATTTCAGATGTTTGTTTAATAAGCAATTGAAAGTAACAAAATATCATTAATCCGTAATTCATAACAAGTCCGAGTTTGCTTCCTGCATCATCTTCAGTTGCAATTACAAATTCAGTATTATTTATATTATATACTAAAGAAAATTTTAATATATTTACCTACCTGTATTAATTGAAACGATGAAAACAAGAACAGTAATAATTATATTTATGAAACAAACGATGTGACCATATGTAGAAATCCATCGATTTAACGCTAAGAAAATAAACCATATTGCATTGTGTCTATCTTGATATTTATTAAAAGTGGATATAAATTTACTTTCAGCATTAAATGCTCTGATGGTTGTAATTCCATAAAGAGATACACTTAGATGAGAAAATACTGGACTTCTATCTGGAAAAATAATGTTTTTTTATATATAATTTAATTATTTAATTAATTCTTTCCTAAATACTGTATAATAATCTAATTATTCCATCTATAAGCAATGAAATAATTAATTTAACACAAGAAATTTATACAAGAAATTGAATAGATTTTAGAATTGTAAGTTAAGATTAATTGATTATATAAATTAATATATATTTATCGAGTTAATTTTGTTTACACAGCAAATACCTTTATTTTATAAATGAATGTTTACTAGAAACTAATGGGTTTCAGGATGATTTAAGTTTCCTCCTGTTCCTGTTCGTTCAATATCTAGTATCATTTTTTTTTCTATTTGACTCCCTTCTGGAAATTAAGAAGGACAGACAGCCAGGGGGAATGTATTCGTCTACAGTTTTTTTCATATTGCATTCCAATAACTAAAGACATTAAAGAGTGTTATATCGAAAAGTTATTACTGAAATAGTTTACGAAGATATTTGACATTCTGATGAGATTTGTGATAGACAATTGTGTTTTATGAATTTTTCCCAAATAATTAAAAATCAATAAAAACGGATAAGAGAAATAATCAGTGCTGTGGTTGGGCTTCATTTTTTCTAAAATTGTGAAATTATCATCAGCGCATCAAAACTATGATTACATCATTAATTTCCACAATTTTGTACTTTCTATCAGTAAAAAACACTCATAGGTTGAAGAAATGAGTTTTTTTATGTTTATTTTATTGTAATATTATCAAAAAGCGCAAAAAATAAACATACAAAATTTTATCACGATGTAAATCATCTCAAGTCACACTAATTGAACATGGGATTTGTTTGTGATTTGAGAGGACCACTTCGTGTTTGAAGGACATGGAAGAAAGAGTTAATTACTTTGCAGGAGAAAGTAAATAAATCAGGCTCTCTATCGATAATATTAGTAATCTGCTAATTATTTTTATAACTGTATAAACCGATCTTCTATTTTGAAGTGAGTCAAATATGAATGTTATTACTTTATTCTACCAGGAAAAATGTTTTCATTTTTTTATGCGATATTGTCACACAGTTGTCAAAAATCGAATACATAGATTCTAAAATAAACATCTCTCTAAATATAACAAAAACAGCAAAGTTTTTTGCTGATTGTTAAGACAGGAACGTTTTCTATAAAACCAATACTTCTATGCTACAAATATTCCGTGGTCCACCAAATTTTTAGCAATTTACGACGTGATGTCAAATGCGTAATTTAAACAATTTAAAATTTAAAAATCCAGCATCGAGTTGCTTAAGTTTTCTGGTAACATTTCGCGGCGTCATCTATTATGATATTTTACTTTCTTTTTTAATTTATATTTTTAACTGTTATAAAATCGCCAAAAGTTTAATTTTTAAAGATAGGGATGGGTTTTATAAAAAATTTGTAAATGTTAATAATGAGTAAAACCGTCTTTAAGTACGATCATATGGAAATACACACGGCCCCTTATATCGCTCTTCTCCTTCAATCTTTAATCACCAAAGCATCAGTCCCTCTGCCAAATTTCGGAAATTTTTCGACATAAAACACAAAAGTTATCAAGCTTCAAAGAGAGTGAATAAAATTCCCCCCGCATACACACACACATATACACATACAGAAACTAACATCCATACATATAGGAAAAAACTTTCGAATGTTTTTTCATTTCTCGACGTTTCAAGGTGTCTTGAGCTCGTCATACTTTCCCTCTCTGAATATATAACAGCCAAGAAAATAAAAACACAAAAGTTATGAATTTTGAAATCATTCTAGACAATTGCTCAAAAACACAATAAAAATTTCGATCTAAATAATCTGCAATCTGATCGTAAGCACAAAAATTTATTACATTAACTGAAGTATTGATACTTACATTTTCCTTCCAAATATTTTATGCTTTGCAACACTCTGTTATGGACAGTCCACAAAAAATAGAAAAGGATTGAAAGAACACAGATTAATATTAGTAGATAAGGGCATATTATCGCTTGAATCAAAAACATGCCAACATAAAGTCTGTATCCCTAAAATAGAACAACGTAAATTACTAATGAAATAAATATTTATATTTATTTTTCAAATTTATGAACTATTGTTCATAAATTTAACGTACATTATTAACAAATAAATTTTAAAAATGTGTAAAACCAATTTATATGTTCCGTAGAAATTTGTAACTTATAATGTCCCTTGCATAACAGCAATGTCTGTCAAAGTAGGGGTTTACAACCATGGTTACGATCATTTAATAGAGAGTGATATAATGCAAATACCACAAATCTTTATCAAGAGAAAGTATATTTTTGCATTAATCATTTCTTGCGTTATGTTAATGGATTGATAATATATCAATATCTGTGCATAAAAATAAGTTGAATTTGGCATTATAAAAAGTAGACAGAGCTAAAGTTTGGTAGTCCACGTTTCATCTGTTAATCTGCTTAGGAAAGTTACTGAATTTATAATTTTGAAAGCGATCTTCTACAGTCGAAAATGTTAAACATAAACAAATAAATAGTATAAGAGTGTATTGTGTTATTGTATTAAAATTATTAAAAGTGAAATGATTTCATCCATTTACATAGCTTCAAACGGAAACATAAAATGCGATCTGATAATATACGTAATTTCTACTTATCAACGATATTCAGTGAATTTTGCAAAGTCAAAAATTACCCTTCATCTATGTAAAATAATATATATAAAAATAATATATATATAAAAGTAATAAATTTATATATTTATACAAATTACTTCACAAATTCAAAATGAATGCGAACTTACTCTTATCAATTGGTAATAAATAGAAGGTAACGTATCGTCCATATTATTAACATCTTTGGAAAACCGATTTAAAATTTTTCCTAGAAAATATCAAAATATAAAATATTACTTAAATTAAATACTTGTATCAAATACATTTATGCCGATATTATTATTATAACAATAGTAATAATAATAATACAGCGCATTATAATCTCCATAGTTCATGTCACCAAACAGAACAGATTTTACATTTTTATAATCAAATTTTATAGAATATATGCATTTATTCTGTTTTTACTAATATCTAAATGAAAAAATATATATATATATATATTTGCATTCATAAGTTCTGGTCTTCTTAATGTTTATGCTTAAACTTGTAGAAAATTGTGTACTGTTCATCGATAGATTATCTTACTTATCAAGCACAAACCTGCAGATGGATATTACGCAAATGTATATTAATTAATAAAAAATCAAGCTACGAGTTGTTTAACTTTCCGGGCAACATATAAAACAGCGTGTGTGGTACCATCTGTTATAATAGATTATAAAATATAAAAAGTCCACTACTAATTACAAATTGGCAAAAACCTTAATTTTGAGGGTAGGGATGGGTTTTTATAAAAAATTGTAAATGCTAAAAACGAGTAAAATCGTCATTAAGTTTGATCCTACTGGAGATATGACACATATCGACAGGCGACATATCTCCAGTCACTCCATCCTGTCGACATTTAACCAGCAAAATTTAACAGCTTGAATCTCCCTAATAAACAAACCTATGTGCAAAATTTCAGAAACTTTGAACGAAAAGTACAGGAGTTATTAAGCTTCAAGTAAGGTGAACAAAATCGTGCCCCCATACAAACAACCATATGTACAGAAAAAAATTCTGAATTTTTTTGTATTTCTCGACGTTTCAATATGCCCTGATTCCAAAATGTAAAAATCTAGGGAGGGTCATTTTTTGACCAATTGCCATACTTTTCTTCTTTTATATGTAACAGAGCTGGGAAAGTAATAAGCAGAATTTTGAACCGTGTAGAACCGAAACGAATGTTTGTACTATATTATATTAAACAACAAATAAGTTATGTTAGTATCATAAAAGTATTTTTAAAATTACATACTTTTAGCGTGTTATAGAATTAAATGTTTAACTTAACAATGAAATAAACACATTTTACATACCAACAGGATTGTTATCCAAAAATGATATTGGAGTTCGAATAATACAACGAAGCATATCGTTATGAAGTTTGAAAGATGCAGTTGTGAACATTCGAAACAATAATAATTCAGAAAGCATCGCCGCGAGGAATACTGCACAAATCAATGCAAAGTAAACATATATGTTGAATTCTTCACTATGATAAAATTCTTCACTGCTGTTGTAGAAAGATTTTGTCTTTAATGAAATATTTTGGCTATGGATTCTCTTATCATTCATCCTGAAAATTAAAAATCGACCATTCAAGTATTTATTTAATTATTTTAAATGTTTTAATAGTTCGTTAACAGACTGAAATACAAGTGAACTATTATAGTTGGAATAAATATAGACTATATATTCAT